GAAAACTAAGTGAGGATACTTTTTCACAATCATACGCCTAAAAAGTAACATTGCAGATCAGTTGTCTGTGATTCCTCCTAAAAATTTATATGGCCCTATCTCATCTAAACAATTGATAATAATCTCTGCCATGTAGGTACCTGTTTGTGACTGGGTACCAGGGCAAATACTCCTATAAAGCACAGGTTCAGGTGTTGTAACGACCACATGAATAATTGGCTCTCAAAAAAATTCCTTCCAAATGGGAAATTCAACCATGTTTAGAGGGTACCCTGATGCAAAGATAGCTTGAGAAAAGTCATATTTGAAAGCTTGCGTATAAATTAATTAGTCAACCAAGAGTCAGCGGGAAAAGAGGTGGAGGATTAGCAGTTTATGTCTCCGACAAATATATTTTTAAATTAAAAGTCTTACAATGTTTCTTAAATACCAATTATGAAAGTCTTTTCGTCGAAATTATTTTAAATAAATAGAGAAATATATTAGTAGGATGCGTTTATCGTCAACCAAATGGTGAATTTTATTAAAAAAACTATCATAAAAATTGATAAAGAAAATAAAAGAATATATATTATTGGGGACATAAACCTAAATACACGGACTTATAAAAATTTTCCTAAAACAAAATTTTTCTTTGATATGCTTTTTAAATACAACGTCTTTCAGTTTTTAATAAACCAACACGTGTTTCAAAATCTTCCGCAACTCCAATCGACAATATTTTTATTAATAACTACCTAGAAACAACGTTTGAAACTGGAATATTCCAAATTGACATTAGCAATCATTTTCCGATTTCGTTAAAAGTAAATTATTTAAAAACTATGCTTGATAGCCAAACTAATGTTATCAATTTAAAAAAACGTAACGTAAATTTTAGTAATATTAATGAACTAACCATGTAAAATAAAACAAGAAACGTGGAGAAATGTGTATAAATGTAAAAATACTAATCAAGTTTTTAGCACCTTTTTAAGTAAATTATTGGAACACTATAATGAAACCTGGCCTATTCGAGGATGTAAAAATTAAGACAAAAGGAATTGCTAATCCGTGGATGAAAAAATAGCTTTTGAAATGCTCAAAAAAAAGCAAAAGCTGTAAAATAAATTCTTAAAAAAATAAAAACACAGAAACTGAACAAAATTATAAAAAATATAAATACTTTTAACATATATTAATTAAAAATGAGAAAAAAAGTTATTTCAGTAAGCTAATTACGAAAAACTAATTTAATAGTACTAAAACATGGTCCATTATTAATGTCATAATTGGAAAAGACAGGGTTTCCACTCCTCCTTAAAAACGTAAGATATCCTTAAAAAAATAAAAACCTCCTTAAATGTCCTTAAATAACATTAAAAAAAATTTAAAATTTGATTGCTCTCCATTAATTTCTCCTTATTTTTTTTTTTTTTAAACATCTAGGAAAGTTTATAAAAGTGAATGGATATGAAAAGTCAACAACAACAAATTTTTTTTCTGGTGCCGAGCAAACAATTTGTTTTTTGAATAGCATTTCTCATTTTGATTTAAAATATGCGCTTTATTTTTCACCATCACGTCAAGTTGTAAAGATATTTGTATTCAAATCTTTAGCATTTGAATCCAAATATCAAGGAATATTTTTGACAATATTAGGAATTTTACCAAAGGGTAAAATTCCTAATATTGTCAAAAAAAAAAATTATTTAAAAGTATGTCAATCTTGGTCTCAAAAGAAGTGTATTTTCATAGAAATTTTAGAAAACATAAATTGTTGACCTGTGTTTTACTTATTAATAAAGAAAGAAATATATAGTCCTTTGATAGTTTGCATGCAAACCTATATATATATATATATATATATATATATATATATATATATATATATATATATATATATATATATATATATATATATATATATATATATATATATATATATATATATATATATATATATATATATATATATATATATAACAGTAATGTATTAGTTTATAATAATTTCTCTGTTTATATTTAGAATTTATTTAAAAAAATAAGACTCTGTTTTTAATGTAATCGTTTTCTCCTTAATTCTCCTTACTTTTTCTTTCAAAAAATTGTTGTTCGCGACCAAATCTCCTTAAATATAAGGAAAATATCTCCTGAAATCTTCTTAAAATCCTTACTTTTAGCCTCAATTTTAATAGTGGGAACCCTGAAAAATAAAAGTATTATAACTTCCCTACCTCAGAGAATTAATATTGAAAACACTGATATATTCTGTCAAAACTTAATCACTAGAGAGTTTAGTATTTCAAGTCTTTAGAGAGTTTAGTATTACAAGTATTTCACAAATGTCGGTCCAATACTTGCTAATAAAATACCACTAACACCAGAATCGTTTAAAATCTACCTAAAACTCTCCAATTACAAAAATTTATGAGATAATAATTTAAGCTATGAAGAATTAAAAACAGATTTTTCTTCTTTAAAAAAAAAACAAATCTCCAGGACACGATGAAATACTTAGTAACATTTATTTTTAACAAAACTAGCTTAATCAAACCACTTTTTCATATAATGAAGCTTTCACTGAAGTTTGATATTTTTCCTGATGCTCTTAAAGCAGCTAAAATAATCCCACTTTACAAATGCAATGATCATTTGGACATATTATAAACCTATAGCATTACTTTCAGAATGCTCCAAATTGTTCGAACGCGTAATTTATAATAGAATATTCAAATACTTCACTAAAAACAAATTATTCTTCCCAAAACAATTTCCAAAAAATCACTTAACTGAGCATGCAATTATTGAGATAGTCAACCAAATAACTGAGGTTTTGACAAAAACAAATACTCCTTAGGTGTATCTAAAGAATCAGATAAATACAGTCTAAATTTACCGAAACGATCGGCGTTATGTATCGAGTTCGCCCACACCTCAATATAATAAGTCTTAACTTGATATACTTTGGACTAATTCACTGTTTCATAAATTATGCAGACATATCATTGGCAAGTAAGCAACCAACTAAACTTCAAAATATTTATAGGTTACAAAAACACTCTTGCCGAATACTCTAAACACAAACAAGAACATGCAAAACCTCTTATGAAAGATATGAAAATGATGGATTTGTTTCAAATAAATACCTATCAGCATCTTATTTTTATGTATAGATATTACAACAACCTTTTACCAAAAAACTTTAACAACATGTTTGAAAAAAATATAGATGAAAGTTATAATCTAAGATCAAATAGTAACAACAATTATAAATTGCCTCGGAAATTTAATAAATTCTCAGAATATTGTTTATCTTATTGAGGATCCAAATATGGAATGACTATTAAAAGGAATATAAATTAACGGTGGAGTTTTTAAGTTCGTTCAAGTTTCAAACAGAAAAAGAAATTTTTAAAATGTGATTTAAGATAAACTTGCATTTTTAGTATATGCTTGACTATTTTAACAACTAATTTTTCTTTGTTTGACTATATTTTTTGTTTTATGTTTGTTTATTTTTTTTATTTAATTGTTTTGACTATTTTAACGGTAACTTTATACCCTTACGATATAGTATTTAAGTCTTTATAAAGGGGTTCTATGAAAAGATTGTGATATAAGCATAATGTTTTCCGTATCTTCTTTGAGTTCCTCTCTGCTTTAACTTCATTTTAATTATATGTAATTTTCAGTATTTGTTTATGTATTTTTATTTATTGTATACGTATTTAACGTGCATTGAAAAAAATAATATTTATACCATGTTAAACAGAAAAAAAATAAAAAATAAAAAAAATAAAAAAATAAAAATTTTGTTTTTAAAAATTTAAGAAATAATTTATTATATTTTAACAAGTGATTAACTAATCTATGAAGTAAAAAAGAAAGACCATGAACTGTATGAAAAACCATGCTGATAAAGCTGTTCTGCTTCGAATTTTTTAAAAAAAGGCTATTTTCATAGCTACAAGTGACTAGAAACATTAGGATAGAACGTTGAGGAACTTAGAACCAGATAATAGCAGATTTATTATTGTATTCAATGATATTGTTTATCATTAAATCGTGTTTATAATATAGTTTGTTAAGTTCTATAAAATATCGGCACTTTCTGTTTTTTTAATAAAATTATCCGGACTTAAGTAGTTTTCCGGATTAGTCTGGAATTAGAATAAGATAGAATAAGATAATAGAATTCGATTTTCTTAAATATAAAATTAACTAATAATAGTTATAATAATAAACGATATACAAAAACGCTAAATAAATAAATGTTTTGTTTATTTAGTTTAAAATTATATTTTTTATATAAAAACTTTGATAATTTTGTTAATTAGTGATATATATAATCATATTTGAGATTCGGTTTGACGCTATAAAAAAAAAATTCCTTAAGAGGCTGCTGCACAGCAAGAAGATGTAAAAATCTACTTAACAGCAATGGAAAAAATGTTTTTGGATTAACTAAGAAGCAGAGCAGTCTGATTTTTGACATTGCTGAGAACATGGAATTTTGCATCCGTTAAAGTTTTAACAGAAAAAATTTAGTGGCTCTTAGATAAACTTTTTTAAATTTTTTTATTTCATTTTTTGTGAGTAGATTCAGACTGGTACATAAAATTCTAATTCGAGTCTGAATTATGTTGTGTTTAGTTTAAGAAAAGGGTGGAGTTTTATTGTGATTAAGGAAGGCAATTATTGACATTTATTCATAGTAAAAGGTAGTATTTAAACTGAGTTATTTATAAATCTCAAGGAGAAACGAAATATCTGAGCTGTATCTGTAGCAGAACTTATTTAAACATGCATAAAAGTTATAACGTAACAAAAATGGCGTTTTCAATGTCTCGATACTATTGTTCAATGAACTTTATACAGTGGGTTGCTAAATTAATAAGGATTTTTGTTTTTGTTGTTTTGTAATTTTAAATAGGTTTAATGAAAAAATACATAACTCGTAGTTAGTTTTTATTGTTTTTACCGTTAGTGGCTTTATTTAGAATATAAAACAACAAAAATACTTATTTACAGTTATTCTTTTATAAAAAGTGTTAACGTTACAAACTAGGTATTAATTAGTGGCGGATTATGCATAGGGCGTGGGGCGCTTCCTAGGCCAGTCACTGGCGCCCCTAATATACAAGTTTCTCATACATAATCCTGCGTTTATTTTAAACAGAAATAGAAAATTAGGTTATAACAAATCATCGTTTACATAGCTGCTTTAAAAATTTGCCTGCATTTACGGCAGAAAATAAAACGGAGACGTTTTGTTTTAATAAAATATCTCTGATAATGATAATGTACACACAATGTCAATGCATTTTTAACATAGTTTGGTATCAAAACTACTGTGACAGATGTTCATAAAACTACAATGACTTTGCATTGGGTAAAAACTTTTTTTTAAAGGAGAAAAACAAAAATTTATAAATCAACTGATTTCAACGTTGCCTAGCGATTTGGATTTATTTTTATGTGTTAAAAATGTTTTCGGAAAAAAACCCGCATAGCATACCTTCCCAACTTAAAATTTACTTGCGCCAGCCTTACTTTCAGAGATGTGTTTGCATCAATATCTCCATTAATTACGACTGAACGTACATTCATTTTTAAGAGAGAAATAGATGGCATCATATTTTCCTAATTTGTCTTTACTCTACAAAATCGACTTGACTCTTCCTTTTACATCTGCTTATGATCAAAGAAGTTTCAGTAGACTAAAGATTATCAAAAATTATCTGTGATTAACATTAATTTAAACAATTTCTTTTTGGATTGACATTTATAGATAAACTTTGCAAAATCAAACTTTAGATTGTTTTAGTCGTACTTAATAGCTGTGATAAAAGGCACATAAACTCTTTTAGGCGTCAGGGCCTACATATTGGTATATTGTTGTTTCCTATGCAGACTTTTGTATTGTGCTGAAAGCTAGAGTTGTCATGTTTTTCTCAAATAAGGGTTTCTACCAATTTCCGCTTAGTAATGATGGTTTCTTTTGCAACTTCTCGTTTTGTGAACTCCCACAGATTTTATATGGGGTTTATACCAAGTGAACGTCCCTGCCAAGGCACTACATGCATGTTATTTTGGCTAGGAATATTGTAAAACTCCTAGCTTTGCGGCATGATGCCGAGTATTATATGAAAATATGTTCTTCATTAGGAAAAAACCATTCTTGGGCCTATAGCAGAAGGCTTTTTCCTAATACCGCTTGTCTTGATCTTGCCTCATGGTTTTTTCCACTATTTAGAGGTAAGCCGTACCTTTGGCTTAGATCACAAACCACGCAATTATACTTACAGGATGTTTAATATTTTTTCAAATACTAGTTCTGATGGTATTTTATACCTGATTGTTGTTGGGTAAATAAGCTTTTGTCCTCCAAAATTTAAAATGTTCACTCTTGAGAAAAACAGACCTTAAAATATTACCATAATTATAATGAATTTTTTTTAGACTTTTTCAAAATGTTATAAGTAATATTAATTCTACTCCAGTCTTTATAGCTTTAGTCAAACGTTGTTTTTTTGAGTTTGACAACTACTCATTGAATTCTCTTCAAACAACCGCCTCAAAATGTCCTTTTAAAAACGGTAATTATTTTATTGTTTTTGATTGTAGTTAGGCGAGCCACACTCTTTTTTTATCGGTTTTCAAGACAGATATCCATGATTTTACGGTCACAACGCGGAGTGGTGATTCTTTTACTGCCTCTTTTTTTTCTTCTAGAAGCACATTTTTATTGATTTTTCATTTACTTTGAGTCAGTATTGACTTCAAAAATACCAAAAGTATCGAAAGTATCGAAAATGACTTTAAAACACTTGAAATTGGAGCTAACTCTCTCTCTGAGAATGTGTGGAATAAAAAAGTAAGGATTTTACTTCCCTCCATTTTCTTGGGATTAAATCTGAAGACTTGCCAATACTAAAATAAAACAATTAGAGTTTAGAATAGTTACGAATCAAGATTTTTGCATTAATATTAACAAAAATATCAAGTTGTTAACCATAACTAATTAAATTATTAACCAATACTTATGTTTTGATAGTTCTGAACTCAAAAAACTTGCCAAATATTTTTGGCAAGTTTTTTGAGTTCAGAACTATCAAAAATTAACAACTGAACTCACTTTTGAGCTCACTCAAATTTTGACTCACACCAACACTTTTTACCAATTGATAGTTAAATAGCTAAATAAAAATTAATCTAACTTTTTGGCTGATAAGGTTGACTAAAAGTATTTTAAAAATCATAATATTTATATCAATAATTAAAATACACAAGAAAAATAATTCAAAACCAATTTATTTTCTTGCAAGATTCCTGTAAATTTATAACAACAAAAAAAGTAAACTGTCCCTAATAATTTGGCAATCCACTGTATATGTTTATATGGGTATTCTGATTATAAAACGTGTCCGCATAAAATATGACCTATTTTATGCAGACACGTTTTATAATCAGAATTCCCATATAAATATTTACAGTGGGTTGACAAATTATTAGCCAAAATTTTAGCACTCGTTACGGCACTTAAAGGGCGCCAATTCAAACTAAAATTGTTTATATAATTTTTCTATGAAAATAAACGCATTATTTTTTAGCTATGAAACTTGGAAAATAATTTTTTTTTCTGCATGCAGAAAAAAAATTTATTTTATAAATTGCATACCTAAAAATATTTGCGTTTATTTTCATAGAAAAATTGTATAAACAATTCAAGTTTGCAATTGGCGCCCTTTAAGTGCCGTAGCGAGCGCTAAAAACCAGTTAAAGCCCTAAAATGCTTGTAAGCATTTATTTAGATCTCAAAATACAACTTGTTACATAACAATTTTAACTTGCAAGTTTGTTTCATAGAAACTTTTTGTTTACTCATGTGGAAAATTGTTTCATATTCTGTGACATATTTAGAAAGAATAAGCAACTTAAAACTATTATGAATACATTTTATAAAGATAAAATATAAATACTCATAAGCGTAAAAATCTTTTCTTTTTTTGAAAGGTTATGTTGAACTGTGTAAAAAAAGTTGGTTTCTATTCAGAAGGTTTTTTGAATGTTTAATTCAAATTAAAACTAAAGTAAACTACAAGCAGAACATAATCTATTATATGGTATTTCAAAACATTTTGTAAGCAAACTTCGTTTTTTTTTATTTCTAATTTCTTAGTATTAAAAGAAAGTGTATGTATTTAATTCTTTTTTATATCTCTCAAAAGTTAAAATAAACTATTTTTCTTAGGATAGATTGTGCTGTTTTAAAGGTAACAGTGAATGTTTAGTTTCTGATTAACTTTTAACAAAACAAAAAGTGTTATTCACGTAATTAAGACCTAGTTGCTAGGGCAACAACAATTAACAATAATTTATGTATTATTGACTTTTAAGACTTCAAATTTGTTTTAAAAACTTATATTAGGTGCCTAAAATTAAGTTAATGAAAACTAAACACATAGAAAAAAAGGCCTAAAAGCACGTTGTTGTCGGGTTAACCGAGTCGGAGCTAAATTATTATCAAAAAAGTTACTATTAAAAAATCTATTAGCTTAATAAGTTTTTAAACAACAAATGAAGTCGGTTCATTTTATATGACTGAAGAATTTTTCAAGCATTAATTTTTGTTTTATTTTTTATCAAAAGTATTTTTTTTTTTTTTTACGAAACTATTTATATAAACAATTCCAAGTTATTGGAATTGTTTATATAAATATTATTTTATTGGTTTTTATTTTATTTATTTATTTCACTTTATTATTTTATTTTAGACTATATAAAATGCTACTATCTAATCTTGTAATTTTTTTGTTTTTACGTGGTTTGCGATAATTTTACCCCCTCACCCCTATAATTAATTTGTTGATATGCCATTAAACAAAAGACAATTGGATTATTAATTAATATGGAGTTTTCAAAATTGTCCTCTAATTTGTTTTATATTGCGTTACATTTTTTTTTAGAATTAAAATTAGAAATTGCTATTATGGTCTGGTTAGTGTTAGTGATTTTTCTTACAACAATTGAAAAAAATCAATGTAATCAACCAAAATCATCAAAGGTTTGTTTATTTATTTGTAATTTTTAAGTTCAAGAAAATGTTCTTATTAAAATAAGAAATCTTATAGATTTTTAAATACTATTTTCTTTATGATTAATTTTACAAGTGTATTTTCACGATTTAACACACTTTTTATTTGATTTACTAAATTAAAAACAATACGTCCGCTATATAGACAAAGCGACAATTTACTCATTACATATACTTAAGTTTTAGCCATGGCAAAGTTGTTAATTGAGTACTTGTGATTTGGTATTTATGGTTTGTAGAAATAAATTGATATCGGGAAGTGTTTGGTAGTATGAGATTCTTTAACTTAAACATAAAAAGTATTATGTTAATAATATTTATTTCGAAGACATTAAGCACTTCAAGTTCTCTTACTAGAGGTTTGGCATTGGTGTATCTGTTTGCGTTTAGTATTAAGTCACATTCATGTTTTTGGTTTTGTAAATAGCATTTAACTTTATTGGATTAATACTCACCCAGATTATGTTACTATAATTGATGCAGCTGTGAATTAATGAGAAATAAATAGTTAAAAAAGAAATAAAAAGTTAGTTTGACATTCTGACTAATAAGAGTATATTTACTGTGTTAGTTAAGTTAGATCAACTGTAACTTAATGCATTGCCAACGTGTAGAAAAATGCGCAGCACTTAGCTAATATAATGAATATCCACTCCTAAGTCAATCATAGCACAACGTAGGGCTATCAAATTACTTACAATTTAATACCAACAGCAACCTAACGTAAAAACAAATTAGAGAAATACACACGGTGTTAGCGTCGGCTTGATGAGTAGCAGAATAGGTGCTAATGTAACGCCAATATTCGACCAACCCAAACATTTTGATGCATTAGATTTCCTTAGCAGAAAAACTTGTTGTGCAGTAAGAAATAATGTGCATTTCTAATGTAATCTTTGATGAGTTATACACTAATTAGGTAAATTTTGTGCATCACATTGTATATTTACAATATATTATGTATAATAGATCTTCAGAAAATTTATATCTTTATTATTTTGAATTTAAATTACCTCTCTATATATGAGACCTATAGATACGAATTCAAAGACAGTAGAGGTTTTACCTACGCTAATAGTTTAGTTATGCTTCTAAATAAGAAATTCTAAAAAATACAACTTCTAATATCTTCCTTTTAGTGTCTTTTAGCAGTAGTTAGATGGCTTGTTCAGTTAACTAAATAGCGTCACTAGAGTGGTTTGATTTTTTGATTAGCCATTATGCTTTCCGATTTTATTTACTTTGTTTGGTTTATCGTAAAACTACTTTTGAAATTTAATAGAGATGTGCCGGGTACCCAGCAACTTTTCTAGATGTGCTGGTTTACTTGCAATTATTGGAGTTATCTTGCAATTTTGGAGGTATTTTTCTAGCTTTTAAAGTGTCCGGCGACCTAAAAACATAAAAAGAAGTGTCTTGCTTAATTTGTGCGGACAACACTCTTTTGCTGAAAATGTTTAATACGTAACATTTTTTAGAACTGTTGAAAGAATGTATTCTTTCTTTGCTCATGTGTGACGCCACCAGAAAGAAGCACCAGGAGCACGCCTACCCCACCCAGTTTTTTCTTTTAGAAATTTCAAGATATAGAGGAATTTTTTTTGATTGTGCATTACCTTCTTTTTCCCGCCACTATATATATATATATATATATATATATATATATATATATATATATATATATATATATATATATATATATATATATATATATATATATATATATATATATATATATATATACAGAGACGATTGTAAGGGGGGGGGGGGCTGTTATAGCACCCTAAGGAAAATGATTTTCAAGTTATAGTCAGTTTTTTACGAATCTAATATATAATTCCAAAAATTCAGTAAAAAGTGGGATTTTAAACATATAACTAGTAGCCCTCAGTATCAACAATCAAATGTACAGATCTTGATTTGACCTTTTTGCCTTGTTTAGTAAAAACTTGCTAAACAAAGCAAAAAGGTCAAAGCAAGATTTGTACATAGCTCTACTAGAAGTAAAAAACACTCCTGTTGACGGTCTGGCATCACCTGCTTAGCTCATAAGTGGAAGTAGATTGAGATCAACACTTCCTACTTCTCTGTCACTACTTCAAGTAAATCTAATCGATGTAAATAAGTTTAAGAAGAATCGTGAAAAAGATCAAAACTTACAGAAGGAATATTATGACAAAAACGCAAAAACATTGGAAAATGTTAGCGATGGAGACTGTGTTCGTATACATGATGGAAATAAATGGCAACCAGGAAAAATTGCTGAGAGCAAACAACAACAAAGTTTCAATGTAAAAACCCTAAATGGAAATATTATTAGAAGAAACAGAAGACATCTACTAAAAACAAAAGAAGAAGTAGATTGGGATGCCAATTTATCGGACAATGAAAGCGATATGCATAAATCAAAAGACATATTCATGGGTAAAAGAAAACTGTCGAATAAAACAAACATTGATCCAAACACAAATCAAAATGAATCATTAGACCACGACATTATTGTCATGTGATCAGGAAGAATTTCGAGGAAGCCAAAACATTAAATTGGTTACGAAATGCATTTTTCAAAGAAGGAAGGTGTAATGATTATTACGCAAATTAATTCAGAATAGCAATTAGCGATTGCAAAACAAGCAATTCCCTTTTGCGAATTGCACAAAAACTTATAACGAAAGTATTTCCTTGAGAGAATTCCACACTAGGAATTCTCGCTTAAAAGCCAGTGCGCTGAATTTAATTACAGTTGAAGTTACGACGCGAAAGTGTGCATAGTTTTATATTTAAATCAGTTGTGATAATTCAATATGAAAATATTGAAATAGTTTTTGTTTTTTTTATGTTGATTAAGCTTAATGAGTCACCTTATAATTATATATTGTATTTTTTTAAGTTGATTAAGCTTCTTGGGGCACCTAATAAGGTGCCCCAAGAAGTCCTTACGGTCTTATCACAGAGCACCGCGGAAGAGCATTTAATAGGAAGTTCACGCCACCTTCCCAACTGATGTCGCAAAACTTGCCCAGAGGTAGGGTTTGAACCACGGATCTTACGTTTCTGACGCAAGTGCGCTACGCCACGGCTGCTTAGATAATTTTTAAATAAATATTAAATAAAAACCATATTCAATTCGACTATGGTTTTTATTTCTCTTCATAATAAATATAAAGTTTTTTATTCATAATAAATATAAAGGCTTTTATTTCTCTTCATAATAAATATAAAGACAAAACATTACAGATAAAAACTCAGAATAATTTCTTTATAAGATAGTATAAACTGTTAAACATAAACTAACGAATAGTTTAATCATTAGGTGCAATCTTTTGACTAGAATTTAAAAAAAGTTTCCGTAAATTGTTTTGGGTTAACCAAAATGCCGGCCGTTTCAGAATCTGGCTTCAAGAAAGTCACGTGATACCGAATCCTGTTTATTAAACTTCCTTGGTAACGGCAGTAATGCTTGACCTAAAATAATACTTGAAACAATTATTAAAAACATCCCTATAAAGTTAAAATATTGCGATTACGGATCTAAAATGTGGAGTAAACTACTTGACAATGAGAACTTAAGTAGGCAAGGTTAACGATGAAGTATAATAATAGAAGTTATAAACTTTTCCAAACCTCCTAAAACTTTTAGTAAAAGTAAAAAATAAGAAGTATAAATATAGGCAAACAAAAAAAAAGAAAAAAGAAAAAAAAAGAAGGTAAAGCTATATATCAAATTTCATTTTTAACTTAAGAATTTAAGTATTGAGAAAGTAAAGATTAAAAGTTAATTACACCTATATTTTTAGCCTATATTATATATTATTGTTTGTCAGGTAATACGTCCTAATTGTAAAAATAATAGTTTTTTAAGAAGTTAAAACTTAAAATATTTAGAATGGATAGAAACATTGGTAGAGGTGGCGGAGTTTGTATGTATATAAATGATAAACTCAAAGTCTATGAGGTTCCAGAGAATTGTTTAAATAACCCAAATGTAGAGAAAGTATGGTGTATAATTGAATTAGGTTTAGAAAAATTATTATGCGGATGTGTATAGAGAACGGGAGCAAGCGATATGAATAATTGTAATGATATAATTAAATGATTTAATTTAAATCTATAAGATACGCTCATTCTATGAATATAAATAAAAAGTTCACAGGGTTATTAATATGTGGGGATTTTAATTTCCATACAATCAAATGGTCTGAAGAATATTTTGGAATTTTATTGAACGCATCTGATGTACAGGCTAAAATATTTCTAGAGTGTTTAAATAATTGTTTTTTACACCTAAACGTAATAGAACCTACATTTCAGAATAACGTAGGAGTAATGACTAACGTATTAGATCTAATTCTCACTGAATGCAAAAGTTTTATTTTCGGAATAATTCATCTCCCACCACTAGGAGGTATTAATCATGGGTACCATATTATTAAATTCAAATATAGCCTTGTTAATTGTACGATCGAAAGTAAGTTTATATATGAAAAGATAAATTTTAACAAAGGTAATTACTATGAAATGAGCCAATATTTTAAAACTATAAACTGGAGTAGAGAATTTCACAATATAGATGTGAACTTGTGTTATGAAAAATGGCTTTCTCTGTATCATGAAGGTTGTAAAAAGTACATTCCATTTACTAAATTATCAAACAATCAGAGAAATAATGTAGCAATTTGAATGAATAATGAAATAAAGCTACTTACTAAAGAAAAAAAGCAACTGTGGTTCGAGTGTAGAAAATTAAAGTTTATTGACAATCAAATGCTTGAGTATTATAAAGAATTAAACAAGAATCTTAAAAAAAATGTAAAACAAAGAATTAAAGAATTTGAACATGATCTTGCTGTTAATTCGAAGTCAAATCCTAAACGTGTATACGCGTATATTAATAATAAGATTAAAGTAAAAGACACAATTCGAGCTATTTAGTTGAAAGATGGTAAAATTGTGACAATTGGTAAGGAAATAGCTGATACCCTGAATGGATTTTTTGCCTCTGTTTTTACTAAAAATTCCAGTCCTCAAATTCCAACAAACTTTGTGAAAGATTCAAGCTGTTGTCAAGACCCTGAATTTAATAAAACAATAGTTGAAAATTAGACATAAATAAAGCAGCAGGACTAAATAAAGTGCACCCAAGAGTTCTCAGGGAATGCTCAGATGTATTGTCCGAACCCTTATCAATCATATTTAACAAATCATTTCAATGAGGAACAATACCTAAAATTTGGTCATGCGCCCATATTATTCCATTGTTTAAAAAAGGGAACAAGCTTGATCCAACTAACTATAGATCTGTCTCATTGACATCTATTGTGTGTAAAACAATGGAGAGGATCGTTAGGGATAAGATGATGAAACATCTAACAAATAACAATTTAATTAACATGAACCAACTTGGCTTTGTAAACAAAAAAAATTGTGTTTCAAATTTATTGGAAACATTTGATTATATTACAAGCTCAGTTAATGAAGGTTGGCCATTGGTGATCTTATTTCTGGACTTCGCTAAAGCATTCGACTCGGTAGACCATGAGAAGTTATCATTTAAATTAAAAAGCCTTGGATTTGAATCGAAAGTATTAAACTGGTTAAAAAACAGATCACAGAGAGTGGTATTAGGTAGTTTTGAATTAGATTGGGAGAAAGTTGTAAGCGGCGTACCATAAGGTTCAGTTTTAGGTCCTCTCTTATTTGTTGTATTTATTAACGACATAATAAAAAGAATCAAATCACTTTGTAAAATGTTTGCTGATGACACAAAACTCTTACGAGCTATCAAAGATGTTAATGATTCAATTGAACTACAACAAGATATTAATTTATTAGTAGAATGGTCAAATGAGTGGTCACTAAAATTCAATAAACAAAAATGCAAAATAATAATATTTGTTAATAGTCAACAACAGTTCGAATTTATGATTAAGGGCGAAAAATTAGTGGTTACAAGTTTGGAAAACGATTTAGGAATTCTAATTTCTAATAAAAAAATAATTTGAAATGGAATAATCATGTAAACTGTGCAGTGAACAAAGCGAATCAAAAACTTGGTCAAATCAAACATGTTTTCCGTTATATGAATGAGAATAATCTCATAAATGAAGATGTTATTTGTCTCATTAGTTAGACCTCACTTAGAATATGCAGCCACAATTTGGAACCCGTACTGGCAGTATGATAAGGATAAGTTAGAAAAAAGTCCAACAAAGAGCAACTAGAATCGAAAGTTTATGAGGGTGTAGCTATGAAGAGAGACTTAAAAAACTAGATCTATTATCGCTTGAAAATAGAAGAAGAAGAGGGGATTTAATTCAAATGTTCAAATATTTTAAAAGATATGACATCCACCAGAAATTATTGATAATGAAAGAAAAACAAGGGGTCAAAATTTGAAATTAAGAAGGCAATTAACAAGCAACATGAAACGATTTAACTTCTTTACAAATAAAGTGGTGAATGATTGGAACAATCTTGATCAAAATGCAATAGATGCATGTACCATCAATCAATTTAAAAACAGAATAGACAAACATTTTAAACACTCAAGAAATTGAGTGTACAGCATATTTCTATTCTATATTTCTATTCTAAACTGTTTAACTTGATGATCTCAAACAACTCAAAAAAAAACAAAAACACATCAGATGGCAAGAGTCTTGTTTTAAGAACCATTATAAATATATATTATTTTGATTTACTCCCAACAAGGCTGCAAGCAACCCTTATTAAGTTGTCAGTTACTTGAAATTAAAGAATAGAGTTAAAAAGGAAGGAAATGATTGACAGAAGAATTATAAAGTTTCAAATTGTATCAGTCAGGAAAGCATGAAAATGAAAAAGAGTTCCAAAGAGTTGAAGTGCAGGTGAAAAAAATATTTTAGAGAATGCAGAACAGATACAGTAAAAGGATGAGACTTTGCTGAATGATGAGTTAGGCAAAGATGAATTTTGGTTGACGGAACTGAAAATAATAGCTCCTTCAAGTAGCGGCCATATAAGTAATTGTAAAAAAAAGATGCAACTTCACAATGATGGGAGAGGGGCTCAATTTTGGCAGATAGAGAAGTTCCAACTACATCTACAATGCGTTATTGGACCTTGTCTAGAAGAGAAAGAGCTTCATTAGAAGAACCAGCCCTAATATGACAACAGTATTCCATACAGGAGCAAATAAACGATATACAGAGGTAGAGAATAGAATCAGGAGTAAGAAAATGGAGAGCACAATAAAGAGAAGCAACCTTTGCATCTGTATATATGTTTTCCACAAGAGTTCAGTAGTGAGAGGGTTGCCATTTATCAATACAGGAATGTTGAAAATATTGTGATAGTTGTTTGTAGTATATTTATTAATTTTAGAAAAGAATCGTGCAAGAGATGTTACTGGATTTTTGTAATATCTTTTAATTGAAACACACAGCTGATACTAGTATTTACAGTGCGTCAACTCATGTGAATTTTACTGAAAGATGTTCATGTATGAGCACAGAAAAAAATAACACATCAAATTAGGTATTGCCTGACTGAAAACTAAAGTATGAGCAAAAACTTAGTATTTTCTCATATTCACAAATTTATGCACTTTGTGCTCATATTGAGAGTTGATTTAGAATATAAGGCTGTCTTAGATTTTATCAGATTAACAAAAAGTATTTCTTGGTTAAAAATTTAGTACTTTTTTTCGCAATGTTTAGCTGTTTAGATAGTAGCTGTAACTTTCTCCAATAAATTGTTTAACAAAGAGATTTTGGATGGGGAAATGGTCATTTTAACAACTTCTGATTTTGAAAGACAAACAAGACCAGCTATTCTAGTTTTTTTCTATTTTTTTTAACAATGCTTTATTTTATGTAGTTTTTGCAATATTTAAGTAGATCTTTAGCTACTTTTTTAACTAAAAAATGACCAATCTAATCATATATGTTTTACATGATTTTTGTTAAACTCCTAATCTTTTTCTTTAACTATTCTTTTGATGGAAGACATGTTGTTAAGTTTGCGTTGTTGCTAAGAAAATCTTATTGCTCTTAATGGAATCAGCAATCTGAAAGCTAATGCAGCAATCTAGAAATCTTACTACCAGCTAACCACTATTAAACCAAGTTTTATATTCATAAAACAATTTATATGTTTAACCTTGTCTAAAAAAGTTGATTTAATGTAAATATATAATAAGTTTTTATTTTAAAGTTCTTCAAGCGGAATGATCTATTAAAGGATACTTTTAACAAGTTATTTCAGGATGTTCCTCTAAAAGAAAAAGTAAGTTTAATTTTGAAAAACCTCTAACCAATATATAAAAGCAATTAGACAATCATATTATTATTTTATATTATTATTTTATTAAACAATTAATACAGGATAGTTAAAATATTGGTAGCTATGATGCACAAAATTTTGCAGTAATTTTTATATTTTCAGTTGCCTGAATATATTCTTGATTCACAAAATGAAATTTATTCACAAGTGAAAGAACAATTTGATGTTGCAGATGATATTTCTAAAAAGCTGGATGAAATGTCTAAGCTTCCCAACACTCAACAAGTATTAATAGTTTCTTTTTTAATTTCCTAACTTTATGATTTTGTTTTTTTATAATTTTTTTTTATTAATTTTTTATTAACTTCTTTTTTTATATAATGTTTTTTTTAACTTGAATCATTTGTAATCATTAATAGAAATCATTTGTAATCATTAATAGAAATTAGAAATGCTAATTAATGAAGCTTCTAAGAAAAACAAGAAGATACAAGAAATCAAGAATATATATGACACTGTTATGAAACTATCAAATGATAAAAATTTGCCTGAAATAGTTGGTAATTGACTTTGTTTAATTGCTTGTTTTGTTCTCACTTTATGACTTTAAATGTGTACTTTATTTATTCTAGATGGAGTTGTTGCACTTGGTGGAAGTCTCATGGAAGTTGTTGATGGTGTTGTTAGGGGACACTGGCAAGATATGTTAGAAGGTGGTCTCAATATAGTCCAGTCATTATTGGTTTTGGCTGGTCCAATGGGGTCTATTATCTCAACTGCTATGAGTCTAGTTTCTGCCATTTTTGGTCTATTTGGAGGTAGTGTAGGTAAGGTGTTAAATTTACACTTTTATTAGGTAGGGTTAACACTACTAACTAGCAGTATGCTGTTGTTATAATTTGTGTTCTGTTGTTGTTATAACTTGTGATTTTTGCAAATGCTTTTTTTTTTTAATTTTTTTCTTTTTTGATATTTGGCATCAAAAGTAAATTTAGTAGAATGTAAAAGTAGCTTAAAATTTTGTTTTTAAAATGTTGTATTGAAAAACCTTGTCAATATTTATGTATGAAATACTTGTTAACAGGAAGTAAGAAAGTCAGTGAGAACCAAGAAGGAATGATTAAAAGGGTAATTGATGATGCATTAAAAAGATCACGTGCAAAGGAATTAAAAAGTGATGCTGAAGGATTAAAAAAAGAAATCAATTCTGTAAGAAACTCAATTAATCAATTTCGAGAAGAGAGCAGCATTACCGAAGATCAAGCAACATTACTTTACAATCAGGCTTTTCTTGTAAGTTTTTTTTGTTCCTATCAGTTTCATTTTTTTAAGTTTTATTTATAGTAATGGTTTTTATTTTTAAAAAAAACTTGTTGTCCTGCAGCAAATTCATAGAGGAATCCTTTTTATGGATTTAAAAAGAAAACAACATAACTTTGAATTTAGATTAAAATTACATAGAAAATCACATATTATATTAATCATATATAAAAAAATATATTGAGAAAATTATTAGTATTAATGCTCATTCATGCATGATTGCACAGAACTTGTGTCTGCCATTAAACCAATGTTAATTACAAGAAAGAGTCTCAGCATATTTTTTTATTAGAAATTGTGAGCAAAAGTGTATGCCAATATCTAGCTAATGTAAATTACAAATTATGTAAGATTACATATTATTTTAATTATGTAAGATTACAAATTATTTTAAGTTTAGAATTTTACTTTTACTTCAAAATTACATTGCATCTCCTTAAATTTGATTTATAGAATTTATTTGCCTAATTTATAAAGTTATGAAAATAAATAAAAGATAAACTTATATACTGTCTACACATTGAGCTCACCTCTTCTACTCATATGGTAAACAGGTAGACCAGGTAGTAGTTTTCTTGAATTCTGTAGTAGGTCTCAGAAAGTTCTCATTCTATCAATAAAATTAAAATATCAAAGTATTAATATTGTTATATTGTTCATGGGTAGTGTAAGTACTTTTGGATATTTTTGGATCTCAGTTTTGAGAACTATTATCCTTTGATTTTAAAAAGGTAGTCATATATTTATGTATTAGTTCAACTATTTATTGTGAAATGAGGTTTGAATCCTCTAACTATTTTGTGCTTCTGTTTTCTGTACTTTGCACTCAATCAACTAAGGTAAAGGTGATTAAATTTAGTTTTTTTAAACATTTTTCGAGTTAAAACAATCATTGAAACTAATTGCAGTCAAGCTTGAAATCATACTCTCTTCAGCTTGATCTGAGTAGGACTTAAGCTGAGTGTGACTTGAGCTCATTAAAAGTTTTTACAATATTGTTGATATTCTTATATCATTGAGTAGTTTCTGAGTCCTCTACGTTACTTCTTCTTTTGTTGACCTGAGTCCTCTACGTTACTTCTTCTTTTAATTTAATATTCAATTTTTTTTTAATTACTTCTTCTCTAGTAATTTACTACTGACCTCTCATAGAAACACTGAGACACTGAAACATTACTCTCCGTTGCAAAAAAAAATTGTGATTTAATTGGTTTGAAAACAGTTGATAATCAGGTTGTTAGGCTAAAAAACAACAGTTATTATTTTCATCAACAACAACATTATAAGTCATATATAGATTTTGCTTATGATTTATATAGTGCTTTAAAAAAATTACAATGATTGCAAAATTTTTCTGAATGCAGAAAAGTCTTTTGCTAACATTTTTTTTCTGAATGACAGAAAAATCTAAATTTTTAAAAGAACTTTTCTAAAAAATTAAATTTTTCTAACAATATTTTTCTAAAATGTTGCATAAAATTGTTTATGATCAAAATTTGAAAAGATATGAACCATGTGATGCAGTTTTTTTTTCTTGGGACAGAAATATGTAACTTTTTGTAAACATTAAAAGGTATATAGTTTTGAAAATTATATGCGTTTTTTTTTTTTTTTTTTTTGTAAATTGTGGTACAACCCTCTCTCAACTCTTCAACTCCGAAACACGAACCTTGACAAGCAAGACTGCTGCGCAGAGAAATTAAGTTGAGCGCGGTACTTCCAGGGACGTTGTGGGAGTTGAACTCCGAACCGCTCGCTTACAAAGCGAGCGCTCTTACCACTACATCACTACCGCATATATATGTAAAGAAATGTGAAAATAATTATATCAATAAGGATATGTAAAGTTTTTTTTTCCAAATATTATTGTAAAATCTTTTAAAAATGACAAAATGTTTAAGAAATACAACTTTTTGTCAATTAAAAAAAGAATATATTAATCTAAAAGCATAGATGTTTTAATAAAAGGAATTAAATATAATGACTAAAAATATAAAAAAAAGAATTAAACGTATGATTGATTTCATATAAATCATGTAACACATATAAAGGCAAAGTAGACATGGAGCACGTGTAACAAATCCAATTTTAATCTGCTAATAGTAATAACCATGTTTTTTTTAAGTTTTGACAAGAACAGTGAAACCAAGCGCAGTATTTTTCACACTATATTGGTTAAGTTCATTGGCACTGATTTCTGGTTCTTTAAGTATTAATTTATCATATTTTCCACAGAATGTTATAGGTATATAGTTATATCCTTACCTTAAATGTCCAAACATTAAAGTATGACTTGCAATTTGTGATTTAATTTGCCATTTGGGAATTAATTTGAGTGTAATATTTATAATAACAACAAGAGTTTTTATGCCTTTTAGAACTCTTCTTTCTAGAAAGACTGTTAATTTTTTTTATATATATTGTGATGCTTGTATGCAGTTATCTTTTCTCATTTGAAACCAGGTATTGTTTTTAGCTTGATCTCTTGTGTTATGATTTATTATTTTAACTGTTTCATCTGTCAAAACCATTTTTTCTGAACCAATATTTTCATTAAATGTTTTAACTTTTGATTTAAATATTACAGCAAAAGGCTTAGGTATATAAAAGTTGTTTAAAAAGTTTCAAATGATTTTTTGTTAAAGTTTAGTTAAAGTTATCAAACCATGTTTAGTTTAGTTAAACCATATTTAGTTAAACCAAAGTTTAGTTAAACCATAACTTTACTTGGATCAAATTTTTGCAATGCGTTCATTCTTATTATTAATGTCATTTGCCTCATTCTTTTCTATTCTTCTTCTAACAACTAGGTCAGTTAGTAAACATGATTTGATATTTTTTTTGAGAGGATTTATTCCAGATACACGCTTGTTTAGTACATGCTGGATTACACCAACCTTTGATGTTAGAATATTCCACTTTATAAAGTGTGGGAATGATATGGTTGCAAACTTCGGAAATTCAAACCATGTATGAACACCAAGCAGAAAGTCACTCTTATTTAAGGCAATCCAAAGTTTTTTTTTTCCTAGATTTTTTTGTGAACCACAAACTTCAGAATATTCATACTATTATAAATATCTTTTTAATTTTCAAAATATTAAAAATATCTTTTTAAAAAATAAATTGCATAAAGGGCCTATAAAACCACATCAAAAAACGAAAATGCTTTTTAGTCCTTGTATTGTATATTGCAAAGTTTTTTTTTTAAGGATATTCCTGTATTTATATTAGGCCATAAGTCTTTCCTGTTTTCCATAAGTACATAGTTTAGGTCAATTAGATCTAAAGCTTTTAGTTTGTCCATATATGATTGTTTAAGTTTTATTTTTCCTATTTTTCTGCTGTCTCAATAACATTTATATTTAATTAAATTGAAGAAAATGTTCTTACAATAAGCTCAACTTAATGTCTTGTTATACTTATCCCACAAACAACTAAAAACCTTACAAGCTGTTTGACAAGTAAATTTTAAAAAATTTTGCAATTTTTAAATGGCATGTTAAAAACATACGTATTTTTTAAATTAACTATTTGATTTTACATAAACAATAAAAATTAAGATAAGTATTCTCAAAATGTTTTGTTTACAACTGTTTTATTTACAACTTGAATTGTTTACAAAATGTTTTGTTTACAACTTGACCCTGCTGAGAAAAACATTATATCATGTGATTCATATTTGTTGCTTAATCACAAAAAGGTAAGGGGAAAAGCAAGCAGATTGTTCATATCAGAGAAATTTTCAAGAAAATAAAAAATAACATGTAGCATCTGTTAAAATCAAGATCTAAAAAAAACTGGGTTAGGGTTTAGGGTTTTTATGAATATATTTATAT